GTGTGTGTGTGTGTGTGTGTGTGTGTGTGTGTGTGTGTGTGTGTGTGTGTGTGTGTCTTTCCTTTACAGCCATCGAGCAGGAGAGGAAAGGCGACGCCACACCTTGACTCGAGCGCAAGTGAGAGAAGGAGCCGACGATGCCACAAGAAAAATGAAGCACTTTCTTTTGATTATCACAGTGTTCGACTTGCTTACAATGTCTTCAGATTAAAAAGAAAAAAGAAAAAAAAAAACAAGGGGTTGCCCTCGAGCTCCCCAAGGTGCTGTCTTCACATGTAGGGTGTGGGGTGGTGGGGGGGGTTGACCACCCACCCACGTCTCTGAAAACTTCGGCCTGGGTGTCTATGCTGCGCTGTTAGCCTGAAGCTAACATGTGTCAAATATTGCCAAACCGGGGAGCGAAGGGGCGGGTGAGGCGGGCGGTAGGGGGAGGTTGGGGATGATGCAGCACAGAGAGAACGATAGGCATCCAGGCCGGGGTGGGAGGAGTGGGGGGCGAGGTCGTATGTATGAGGGGAGGGGGGAGGTGGGGTTAAAGTGAACACATGTGGGCTGTTTTCTTATTCAACTTTTTACTTTTCATTATGTAATAAACATGAAGACATGGAAACCACCTGCCTTGATCTTTTTCTCTGATTTGTATTTGTATTAATACACTCATGTCTAAATGTATACACGAGTAAAAACACACGACTATAGCTCCTTCCTGCTCCATCAACTTGTACGAAAGGCCCAGACTATTGGTGTTAAGAGGGTTTCATCGAGGTTTGGAAATAAAGGCTCCTACCATGTAAGAAATGGACCATGTTTCAGTTTGTGTTTGACCAAAGGGACGAATGTAAACCATTACCTGACACCGTGTCATAATACAACCCTGACAAGTACAAAATCAAACCAAATAAAGTTAAATTATTGTATTATGAAACTCTGGCTGAGGCTCGTTGATGTCGTGGTTGCATGTTCTCCTCGCATGTTCCTCCACATGTTAGGTGAACTGGCTGTGCTAAATTGTCACTGGGTGTGTGTCATGTGTCCTTGTCGCACCGGCAACCTCCCCATCCTGAGTGTACCCCTGCCTCTTACCCAGTGACTACTGAGAAGGAGCTCCAGTGCCACACTGAACAGAAAAGAGTGGATGGATGGATGGATGGATGGATGGATGGATGGATGGATGGATGGATGGATGGATGGATGGATGGATGCATGGATGCATGGATGCATGGATGGATGGATGGATGGATGGATGGATGGATGGATGGACGGATGGTGGCTCCTCAGGGAACAGTGCTAGCACCGTTCCTCTTCACCCTCTACACTGCAGACTTCACCAACACACCACACTGCCACCTCCAGAAGTTCTCTGATTACTCTGCCATAGTCGGTCTCATCATAGGTGGGGACGACTCAGAGGACAGACAGTGGACTCAGAGGACAGACAGTGGACTCAGAGGACAGACAATGTACTCAGAGTACAGACAGTGGACTCAGAGGACAGACAGTGGACTCAGAGGACAGACAGTGGACTCAGGACTTTGTGGACTGGTGCCAGCAGAACCACCTCCTGATCAACGCTGCCAAAACCAAAGAGCTGGTGGTGGATTTCCGCAGGCACTAACCCACCACACTGACACCGGTGAACATCCAGGGAGTGGACATTAAGATCGTGGACTCTTCTAAGTACCTGGGTGTTCACCTGAACAATAAACTGGACTGGACTCAAAACACAGACACTCTTTACAGGAAGGGTCAGAGCAGACTACACTATAAAAAAATCTAACTTAGTTTGTTTGGGATGAAGAACAATTTTCAGTTGAAAAAACTTGAAAAACTAAGTCTAACATAGTGGGGACAATAATTTAAGTCGGTCCAAAAAACCAATACAGTTGTAATCTCAAAGGAGACCAATTATGGGTCCTAGAAATTTTTATGGTATGTCTGTGGGCTATCCAGACCATGTTCATTCAATTTAATGCACAAAATAATTCTCA